TGCTTCTCTTGGACTGGGCTTTGGGGTGGCATCCTGGAGCCGGAAGGATGAAGTTGTGTGGCCATGGACAGGGGCTCGGGGAGCCCTGTCCTGTCCTGCACAGTAGGGGGGGCTGTCCTCACGGACCTGCCCACCCCAGCCTTGAGCAGGGGGTGCTTCCCTTCTGAAGAGCTGGGGACCACGACTAACTGGCGGACATTCCTGGGTGTTTTCTGAAGGTCTTTGAAGGAAATCGCCCGACCAATTCTATAGTGTTCACCAGACTCACGCCATTCATTCTTGGAGCCTTGATTGGTGAGTAAGCGGGGAAGGTCTCAGCTTGGGATAGGTCTGAGTGGGCTGGGGGAACCCTACATGCTTCCCTCCACATGTACTCCCTCCACAGCCATGTATGAGCACAAGATCTTCATTCAGGGCATCATCTGGGACATCAACAGCTTTGACCAGTGGGGGTGAGTTGCTGGCTCGAGGGGAGGGTAGGGAATGCCTACCCAAGGTGAGTTGGCTTGTGGATTTCAGTAGTAATGCTGGAAGCCTCCTCATACCCTTATTTCTCCTCTGCCTGGCAGAGTGGAGCTGGGAAAGCAGCTGGCTAAGAAAATTGAACCTGAGCTTGACGGCAGCAGCCCAGTGACTTCTCACGACTCTTCCACCAATGGGCTGATCAACTTCATCAAGCATGAGCGCGAGGCCAGAAGCTAATAAACTCGTGCCCAGCAGTGGCCCCTGTTGTGACTGGTCCTTCTTGTCTGCCTGCCCAGAGTCTGCACTGCACGGTCCTGCCCAGAGCACCCTCTGGTTTTGGGCTTGGACCACGAGCCCTTTGGGGGAAGCTAGTCTGGAATTGCCACCCCTGCCCTCTCAGTGTCCACACCCTCTCTGTTCTACAATTGGCTAAAGTGTTTCAGTGCAACTGAGTTTTCTGATCTATGTTTATTGTTCGTGTACCAGAAAGAAAAATAAAGATGTCACAAAGGAAGTCATGGGCTTAGCCTCTTTGTTGTGAGATGGGCTTTCTGCAGAACTCAGGGTGCCCAGTAGGAAGAGTGGTTGCCTTGACTGAGGCTTGACTGTAATTGGTGAGCAGATCCACACTGGAAGATGGTCCCTTGAGGAGAGCGTGGGTGGAGCGGGGCACTGTCCATGTCTCGAGGGCAGCTTGGCGTCTGCAGCTGGATCTCTTCTCCATCTTCTTACACTGCTCACCTCTGTGGCTTTGGAGGGACTGTATCCTTCCATTTGATGAACGGTTTTTAAAACCACAGTGAGATTTTGTCTCTCTGGGTGGATTCCTGGCCCAGAGCAAGAGTGACTGCTAACTCCTGGCCAGGTGCCCAGGTAATTCTTTCCTTTTATAAGGTAGACATTGAAAAAAAAAGGAATTTTTAACAAACTGCTTTTTTATTTTCTATTTAAGTTACTTCTATTCAATATATTAATACTTCTGGCCAACTTAGCTGAAAAGGAATTTCATTTAAAGAATTGATGGGACTCTCCATGTTGTCCAGTGGTTAAAAATCTGCCTGCCAATGCAGGGGACATGGGTTCAATCCCTGGTCCAGGAAGATTCCACATGCCACAGGGCAACTAAGCCCATATATCACATGGGCATGAGCTAAACTCTAGAGCCCAGGAGCCACAACTACTGAGCCTGAGCGCCCTAGAGCCTGTGCCCCCCCCCAATAGCAGAGACCGCAATAAGAAGCCCGTGCATCACTAAAGAGTAACCTCAGTTCACTGCAACTAGAGAAAGACCTGGAGTGGCAACGAAGATCCAGCAGAGCCAAAAATGAAGTAAAGTGCAAGTCACTCAGTCATGTCCGACTCTCTGCGACCCATGGACTATACAGTCCATGGAATTCTCCAAGCCAGAATACTGGAGTGGGTAACCTTTCCCTTCTCCAGGGCATCTTTCCAACCCAGAGATTGAACCCAGGTGCCTGCATTGCAGGCAGATTCTTCACCAGCTAAGCCACAAGGGATATAAATAAATAAGCCAAAAATAAATAAGCCAAAAATTAAATAAGATTTAAAAAAACAATGATGCACAGAACCAATGGGCATGCTAGAGGCTGAGCTTTCCAGACCTACAACCCTAGACCATGACAGAGAATGATCTGAACTAGGAAAACCCCTCATAAGGCCCTGCTGCCCTCGACCCTGTCATCAGGGTGGCCTTCACCCCATCTTCTGGGCTGCCTGCATTTGAGTTGTCCTCTGGCTTGCTCATGTTCCTTCCTCAAAACAGGGAAAAGTCAGGACTTGTATTTTTTTGTTCTTATAAAGAGAAGAGAAACTGTACCCATGAAAGGAAGGAATACTCTGATTGTAGAGAGTGACCATATAGGTGCAAATATCCACCTAAAATAAGTAACAGAAATTGTTAGCACTTCTCATCCTCTTATTCTTTTTTTATTCCCAAAGTGAATGTCCACTTCTCTCCCCACTTTTGCAGAACTGATAGAGGCTCTTCAACACATAAGCTCTGTTGGAACCCCTGCTGACCCACCTTCTTTCTTAATACAGCTGATGAAAAGTGAGCTATATTCCCAGCAGAGGCACTTCCTCTTTACAAAAGAGCAAGCACACACAAAAAACTTGGAGGAAAATTCTGGTGACAGACTGTCTCAGGCTGACTTGGTTTCACACAGAGGATCTTGTAGCAGTGAGACCCCTGTACTAGGCCAGCTGCCAAGTCTCACGTCAGGAGGAAGAGGACCTGGAAAAAAATTGGCCACATGTCCCTTGGCCCTACCTTGTTCTGCTCATCCCTGCCACTGTCATCCCTTACAGCTTCCACTTACTGTGTAGCTGCCAGTTCTTGTGAGTCTTGAATAGTATATGAGTTCTCCAGAGGAGCAGAACCAATAGGATATATGTCTGTGTATCTCTACAGAGGTGAATGAGATTTCCTATGGGAGGAGGCTTACATGATTATGGAGGCTGAGAAATCCCACAATATGCTGTCTACAAGCTGGAGACTCAGGAAAGCCAGGGGCATAATTCAGTTTGACCCTGAAGGCATGAAAACTAAGAGGCCACTGATGTTAAAGTCCAGAGTCTGAAGGCTTGAGAGCCAGGAGCTCTCATGTGCAAGGGCAGAAGAAGACAGTTGGCCTGGCTCAAGGAGAGAAAATTCATCTTTTCTCCATCTTTTTGTTCTCTTGGAGCTCTCAGTAGATTGGAGAATGCCCACTCACATTATAGAGGGCGGATCTTTATTCAGTCTACCAATTCAAGTGCTAGTCTCTTCTGAAGCACCCTCATAGACAATCAGAGAAAATATGTTTTTACTAGCTATCTGGTCATTCTTTAGCCCAGTTAAGTTGACATGTAAAATTAACCATCACTAACAGCTCTTTGGGTGAGACTGAAGCAGTGTTCAACATCTTCATTCTGTATTTCCTCAAATATCAAATGTATCACCATTTGATGATTTCTGTGAGTTTGTCAGGAGGCCCAAACTCTACAAAATCATGAATTAAGTTAGACACTTCCAAGTCTCACACATGAAAGCACTCTGTCCCAAGGACTTCACAATAATGCCAGTGTCAAAATTGCTTTTAAATTGCTTCTGGAATTCTGGAATGCAGTAGTAATTCACATATTGAAAATTCCTCTTAAGTAATAAGCCTTCATGCTGTGATCACATGTTGATGAAGAGGCTGTAATAGGTAGTGTTATGATATAATCAGATGACATTGGAGAGAGCGCAGTAACTGGCAATCATCAATTTGATTACAAAAAGTTTACCTTTTCCAGAATGTGGCCTTTTGCTGGAGATCTTGCTATGTTAGCAAGAATAAGGGCTTTAAAAAAATTTTTTTTGGGGGGGGCAGTCTTTTTTGGGAATCTTAGTTCCCTGACCAGGGATTGAACCTGTGCCTCCTGCAGTGGAAGCATGGAGTCTTAACCACTGGACCACCAGAGAAATCCCCAAGAAGAATTTTGAAGTTTGTTTCTTATTGCAGTAATTTAGAAATGTATCCTGGGAAACATTTAGCTAAAATAACAAGTATCTATCAAGTCATCCAGCCATTTTGGAAGACATGACGAGAACAGCAAGATTGGACTTCACAGCACCTGTAAAGCCATCAGATTGGCAGTAATAAACTAGGAGTAAACAGGTTTCACTTCCAAGTGTTCGCTAGGGCCGGAGTCAAACATAAGGGGGCACCTGTGTCTTTTTTATTTTTATTTTTTTACATACCATGGTACAAAGCCTGAAATAGTACTTCTGCAACATGCTTTTTTTAAGTCCAACTTATTGAGGTGTAATTTACATATAGTAAAAATTCATCGTCCTTTGGTGTACAGTTCTGACAACTCTGTCCAGTCATGTAGCCAGCACAAGTGAGATATATAGCATTTTCATCACCCCAAGTTCTGACACCCTTTTGTGGTCAGTCTCTGCCCCCTAAACCCAAACTCTGGCAAGCATCGATTTGACTACAAAGCCTACCTTTTCTAGAATGTGGCCTTTTGTATCTAGCTTCTTTCACTTAGCACTATGTTTTTTAAATTCCCCTGCGTGTGCCACAGGTGTTTTAAAATTTTTATTACGGAAAAATTTGAACATATAAAAGTCAAATAGCATAACAGACCACCCTGTGCCTCACGCCAAACTCGAACAATGATCAACCCAGGGCCCATTTTATTTTATCTACGACCCCTCCCATCACGTACCAAACTCCAGATATATCATTTCATCTACAGTAAAGGCATTTCAATGTGTCTCAAAAATGTGGGCTTCCTGGCGGCTCAGATGATAAAGAAACTGCCTGCAATGCTGGAGACCGGGTTTCGATCCCTGGGTCAGGAAGATGCCCTGGAGAAGGAAATGGTAACCCACTTATATTGAACTTAGAACTCCAAATTACATCTCCCAAAAGGTCTAGGAGCGGCGGGGCTGTCCCACAGGCGTCAGCGGTGCGCACGCGCAGAGAGGCGCACCCTCTCGGCTGCCGTAGCCCGCCTCTTCACGTGTTCTCCCGGTCGTCATGGCGGCCGTTCGGAAGCCAGTGCTGCTCGGGCTTCGAGATGCTGCAGTGCACGGCCGTCCCACGGGGCCGAGCGCCTGGACCGCAAGCAAGCTGGGCGGCGTTCCGGTGAGGTGGGGCGCGGGCGCCGGGGTCGGCTGGAGCTGGTGTTGGGCTACGGGGTGAGGGAGTGGGCGAGGTCCCTGGACAAAGTCAGGGTCTGAGCGCTTTCCTTGTCCTCAGGACGCCCTGCCCGCCGTGGCAGCTCCGAGGCCGGTGTGTGAACTCTGCCGGCAGCCGCTTGCCCTCGTCGTGCAGGTGTACTGCCCGCTGGAAGGCTCTCCTTTTCATCGGCTCCTGCACGTGTTCGCTTGCCCTCGGCCTGAGTGCGGTAGCGGCAGGGCGCGCAGGTAGGCGGGGAGGTAGCTGAGCTGCCGAGGGGATTTATGCCGAGTGGGCGGGAGCGGCGGCTGCTCCAGGTCACCGGGAGGGGACTGGCCAGCCCTCTGGCAGTTGGCGATGGAGTCCTCACCGCAGTTTTTCTTTACTATGAAGTTGGAAGGTGTTCCGCTCCCAGTGCCTGCAGATGAGAGAGAGAGAGACTCAGGACGCTCAGGTAACGCGGTTGTGACTATCATATTGTTTAGTCGCTAAATCGTGTCTCTTTGCGACCCCAGGGACTGCCTGCAAAGATAGGACTGCAGAACAAAATCCAGCTTTTCTTTGCCAGTAAATGTTGCTTTATATGTTCACTGAGTTCTTAATGTGTGCGAAGCATTGTACTAGCAATACTGGGAATAAAAAGGTGGTGTTTGCCTGTATTTCTTGGGGTTCAATTGCAGATAATAGAAAAGCGTTTTGACTTTTTATAGCTGAGACTGATTTAAAGTTAAGTTTTTCCTTATTTTATTAGATAGGCTGGAGGAAATGACTCCAGGAGTGACCTGCAGAACTACACCTCAGAACTGGCTTGTCAGGGAGCTGCCATGCCACTTCTCATGCAGTCTGGAAGCCCAGATGTATTCTGGTGAACGAAAGTTGCCCTTGTCAGAACTGTTGACTCCAGAGCCTTGCTCTGTCTCCATCTACACACAGACTGCCTTTTGGTCACTCTTTCCACTTCACTCCGTCAAGTCTGTCTCTCTCTCTGTCATGTTCCTTATGAGCAGACCCCCTGACCATATCTAGAACCCTAACTGCTTAGGACTCTGGGAAATGTAGTTTTTTCTTACCAGCTTTTGTAGTACATGAAGCACAACTGAAAGAGGTGTTGAAGAAACCACCATAGTATATCTGCCACAGTGCCCCTGAAAAGGAAGCACAACATATGTCACCTCCAACATGCTTTTGAGTAAACCATGAGGTGCCGGAGTGAGAGGGGCAGGTGTTAAGTAAGGTTCCTTCAGGAAGGTGAAGGATTGGGTGGCTCAGGAAGCCAAGGAAACAGTGTGCTTGAACCTCATTCATGGGGTATTTTCCCAGAAACAGGAGAATGGCCTCACAGCTGAGGATTGGTGTGAAGGTGCAGATGACTGGGGAAGTGACAGTGAGGAAGCGTCTCCACCACAGCCTATCTCGGATTTTGGAAATGATTCGAGGAATGCCAAGGACAGAGACTGGACCTCCCAGCTCCAGGACCTCCGCCTGCAGGATACTGTCCCAGGTGTTGCTCCTCCTGCGCCTCCCGGGGAAGGGCCGGCCTTGCCTCCTTCGGTGCCACAGTTCCTGCCCTATTACATCTGTGTCGTAGATGAGGATGACTACACGGACTTTGTCAGTCTGGACCATGCTCAGAGCCTTCTGAGGGAGTATCAGCAGAGAGAAGGAGTTGATATGGAACAGCTGCTTTCCCATAGGTGAGCATGTGTGCTGTTGAGTTTGAGAGGTAGTTTAATCAGGAGGCTGCCAGAGTGGGTACTCTTTGGTTTTATCCTCAAAACTGGGGTTACTTTTTCAGGCAGAACTTTTTCATGTCCAACACACCTACAGGTGTGTAGGACCTGTCTGCTTCACTCCTCTTGGGCTAGAAAGGGAGACAGAGACGAAGAAATCTTATGAGCCACCGTTGAGTTAGCTTGAAAACACTTGGTTTTATTTATAAGGACTCTCACGAAAATGACCAGAACGGTTTCATTTGTAAGCATTTTCAAGGTAGTGTTGGAGTGCACGAAGACGTGTTGGTGTTTGAAAATGCTCCATAATGGAGAAAGACATGGCAAGAGCCGGTGGGTATATGACTTTTTATTTTGTTTATTTGTTTGTTTTATTTTTGGCTGCCCTGAGTCTTCGTGGCTGTACACAGGCTTTCTCTAGTTGCAACGAGTGGGGGCTCCTCTCTACTTGCAACGTGGGGGCTTCTCATTGCAGCAGCTTCTCTTGTTGCGGAGCAGGGACTCTAGAGCCTGGGCTCCGTAGTTGTGGTGCATGGGCTTAGTGGTCCTGAGATATGGGGGAGTCTTCCTGGACCATGGATTGAACCAGCATCCCCTGCACTGCAAGGCACATTCCTAACCACGGGACCACCAGGGAAGCCCCATAGTGACTTTTTACATTGCAAATAATTATCCAGTGTTGAAAATGGCTAAGAAGCAGGGCTTGGGAGAAAGTTGGGTGGGGGGGTTACTGTTATTCATTGTAAAGTATTAAATTTATGATTTTTAAGTTGTGTACGTATATTTTACTGTGGTAAAATTTTTAAAAGTTGTGTACTCTCTTTTCTAAAAACTTGTTTATTTATTTAGGCCACCCAGAGCAGCTTGTGGGATTTTAGTTCTCCAGTCAGGGATTCAAGCTGGGCCCTCAGCAGTGAGAATGTGGAGTTCTAACTAATGGACCATCCGGGAATTCCCTGTGTCCTGTTCTAAACACAATAATTCTCTGAATGTAGACATACAAAAGTGTTTTCTGCTTCTCTTTTTAGTCTGTGTTACTGTAGTCTCATGTCCATTTTACTTGTTGATGGACTTTTAGTGAGCAAGTATTTCTCTAGGATGCATTTCCTGAAGTGGCATAGTTAAGCAGAAGGGTTTATGTAATTGTGGTTTTAATTGATAGCACCCAGTTTTCTCCCATTGGACTTTAATTCCTGCTGGCAATATATGATCTTTAATTCCTACTGGCAACCTATAAGTGCCTGTTTTCCCATAGCCTTGCCAGCAGGGTGAGCTTCATGCTTTTGTAGTTCTGTCAATTCAAGGTGAAAAAGGGCATCTTGGTATAATTTTACCTGATTTTTCTCTTATGAATATCTTCCTCTGTGTTGTGGAATTACTTCTGTTGGGTGGGCCAAAAGTTTGTTCAGGTTTTTCTGTAAGAACTTACAGAAACCTTTTTGGCCTCCCTTTTGTCTATTCATAACCTTTACCCATTTTTCCTTAAGTTCTTGTGCCTTTTGATTTTTAGGAACTTTTTATATATTAGATTATTATGATTACTTTTATATGATTAAAATTATTATGATTTATTTTCTGGGCCTGTTTGTATTTTGACTTTGCTTGTGGCGGTATTGTTGGGTATTTAATTGTTTCCACTTGGTTCGTTTCAGTTTTGCACAGTTCAGTGCTGCAGTATGCATCTTGTTCACAGCTCCTGGAATGTGGTAGTGATTTCTCTTTAGTTCTGGGAGCGAAATTGAGGATCGAAATTTTGAAGTTTAAAGGTTCTTGATATATATTGTTTGATGGTAGTTTTTACTCCTAAGTACAAAGTCAGACTTTACTTTTGATTCTTGCATCCTAATTTTATTGATGATAATTCACTTTATTTCTCCTTACTTTAGTTAGGTATGACAACTAGAGATGCTGTGTTGAAAACATGCCCAAATTATGAAACCATCAACAGAATTTTCAGATTAAGGCAATTACTTAAGCATGTGGCCCCTCAGTAGTGGCAGTAATTCTTAGATGGAGACCACCCCTTGGGAGGGGCCTCTTCACTGATGAGACTCAGTGCTCACACTGATCCACTCCTCCTACAGGGCTGAGTTACTGTGTGCTGGACTTGGAGTTGGTCCAGTAACAACCACTCTTGGTGCTGGCCACAAAAGTACCTGGTCTGGTCAGAGGAGACAGGACACTATATGCTATGATAGGTGCCCAACAGAGATGTGAACAAGTATGCCAGAAACCCAGAGGAGGGACCAGGGGCCTTTGCCTTGTTTCATCAGGGAAGGCACCATGCAGGAGACACACTTGGAGCCCCTAGCCCCTACCCTGTAGGACTAAAGGCCAAGGATGCTTTGAGTCACAGAGGTAACTGATTAAGGAAAAAGATAGCCAAGTGCATAATGGCGGGATAGGGGCAAGTCAATGGGCTGGACACCATGGTGTCTGAAATGAGAACAGCTTGGTTCTTGCCTCCCGCAGCTCCACACCTTGGCCTCCTTTAGGACGTACACCCTTGTTGTCCTCCTTGACAGACTGGGTACTTCCCAGACTTGGTGTCTAGTACTGGCATGGATTAGGTATGTTTTCAATCCATTTCTTACTAAAGAATTTATATTTTATTCTGTTGCCAGTGGATGCCAGGAGAGTGATGTGATCACTCGAGATTCAAGGAATCCAGGTGAGAGATGGTATAAGGTTTTGGATCAAGGCAGAAGATATGGGAAACAGGGAATGCATTTGGGAGATACTTGTATAATGGCAGTTCTTGGTGACCCTTGGATATGAGAGTAAAAGATTGGAAGGCAGCAACGTGGTTTTGAGCTCCTGGCTTGTGAAATTGGAAGAGTGTTGATGCAATGCTGGAGATTGGAGCGAAATTGAGGATCGAAATTTTGAAGTTTAAAGGTTCTTGATATATATTGTTTGATGGTAGTTTTTACTCCTAAGTACAAAGTCAGACTTTACTTTTGATTCTTGCATCCTAATTTTATTGATGATAATTCACTTTATTTCTCCTTACTTTAGTTAGGTATGACAACTAGAGATGCTGTGTTGAAAACATGCCCAAATTATGAAACCATCAACAGAATTTTCAGATTAAGGCAATTACTTAAGCATGTGGCCCCTCAGTAGTGGCAGTAATTCTTAGATGGAGACCACCCCTTGGGAGGGGCCTCTTCACTGATGAGACTCAGTGCTCACACTGATCCACTCCTCCTACAGGGCTGAGTTACTGTGTGCTGGACTTGGAGTTGGTCCAGTAACAACCACTCTTGGTGCTGGCCACAAAAGTACCTGGTCTGGTCAGAGGAGACAGGATACTATATGCTATGATAGGTGCCCAACAGAGATGTGAACAAGTATGCCAGAAACCCAGAGGAGGGACCAGGGGCCTTTGCCTTGTTTCATCAGGGAAGGCACCATGCAGGAGACACACTTGGAGCCCCTAGCCCCTACCCTGTAGGACTAAAGGCCAAGGATGCTTTGAGTCACAGAGGTAACTGATTAAGGAAAAAGATAGCCAAGTGCATAATGGCGGGATAGGGGCAAGTCAATGGGCTGGACACCATGGTGTCTGAAATGAGAACAGCTTGGTTCTTGCCTCCCGCAGCTCCACACCTTGGCCTCCTTTAGGACGTACACCCTTGTTGTCCTCCTTGACAGACTGGGGACTTCCCAGACTTGGTGTCTAGTACTGGCATGGATTAGGTATGTTTTCAATCCATTTCTTACTAAAGAATTTATATTTTATTCTGTTGCCAGTGGATGCCAGGAGAGTGATGTGATCACTCGAGATTCAAGGAATCCAGGTGAGAGATGGTATAAGGTTTTGGATCAAGGCAGAAGATATGGGAAACAGGGAATGCATTTGGGAGATACTTGTATAATGGCAGTTCTTGGTGACCCTTGGATATGAGAGTAAAAGATTGGAAGGCAGCAACGTGGTTTTGAGCTCCTGGCTTGTGAAATTGGAAGAGTGTTGATGCAATGCTGGAGATAGGGATTTAGGAGGGTGTTATTTGGGGTGTGGAGTCTTGATTATTCTTAGACTACAGAATGTGTTCTTGTCAGTTTGATTTACATCTTTGAAACTAAATCTTTGTTATAGTAGTTTTGGTTTTATTTCCCTTGTGCATTCTACTTTGCAAGTTTCTTATAAGGAAAACATAACATTTTGTAACAAGTAACAACTGCCCAGAGGATATTGAATAAGAGGTCTTGGAAGTTCAAGGCCTGCATTTTCCATTTCTAGTTGAAGGTCCATGGGCAATTCACTTAACGTTTCTTATCCTCAGTGCCTCATCTCTAAAATGAGGGTGATAATACAACTACCTATTTCATAGGATTCCTCTGGGAACTAAAGGAGGTGATGATCAAAATACTCTGTAAAACATCCATAAATATGGACTGTTGTTTGAAACCCACTATGCTAAGTTTTGGGGAAGCAGAGATCTATAAGAATCTCTTAATAGTATTGGTATACTTATGTATTCATGATCTTTGGCAGTGAGGACAGTATGTTATTCTCATGCAAAGCATAGTGCCTACATATAGTAGGTATTTGTGATGCCAGTACATTTTCAAACATGATAGGGATGAAAAGAACCTTGGTTTTGGTCTTAGAAGACTTGGCCTTGGGGCAGATGACTATTTACTCTTCTATAAAATGGGCCTAATGCCTACTTTGTAGACTGTTTGGAAGGATTCAGTGAGCACCTTCATTCATTCAGCTAATATTTACTGGGTCTATGCCTGATGCTAGGTGCTGTTATAGATGCTGCAGGTACAACAAAAAATGACACAATGTCCATGTTTTTATAGATTTTACCTTCTAGTGAGAGAGTTTAAAAGTGAAAAGATACATTGTATGATTTCCACAAGTGATAAATGAGGAAAATACAACATAACTGTTCTAAATAGGATGTCACAGAGACTCTCAGAGGAAATGACATATCCAGCAGGTTATAGTATATAAAAATGACAGCACAGGGAAAATGTGGAAAAATGGGTCTAGATACAGTGGTCAGAGTAAAATCAAGTGGTCTCTCTATCTTAATACCTGGTTACAGTGAATATAAAAAGTAAAAATCAGCCAAAAATAAAATAGAAAAAAACCAAACTTTAAAAAGAAAATCTCTTCCGTCTGCATTGAAATAAGAAAGGAAACTTAATACCATAAAACTCAAAGTGGCAATCTGGGATGTAATATCACCAAAAGTCTAATGCAGTTCTGGGTGTCTCACATTATTTATTTATGTAGTTAACTTACTTTTCACAGAGGAAGGTAGAGACATTTCTGTACCTTTAGTGTGAGTTCTAGCCATTCAACCTTCTCTCACTTCTTGAAAATACACTGATAAGTCCACAGCATCCTGAGAATTGCGGTAATGTTGAATCTGGAAAGAAGCAAACAGGAGAAGAATCTGTATCTTCTGCTGTAGGGCTTTTGGCCACACAACTGGGTGTGGTGCGGGTGAAGATACAGAGAATCAGAAATTGCCTCTCAGAAGCAAAAGTTGTTGGGTTCCATGATGCGTTACAGAAATGATAAAGAAGTCAAGGGCAATTTCTTGCCCATTAGAGTGGGATCCCCCAACATGTAAGACATTTAACACTATCTCAGAAGTAAAGATGAAGCCCAGGTGTTCTAGTAGATTGCATTGAGTCTTACAGAACTATACCCCCACCCCAATTCACCTACAAAAGAGTAGAAGAAATGAAAAATGTGTTTGGAGAAGAGGAAAAGAACAGACCTCTGATGTGAGATTGACAGGAAGTCAGCAAGAAAACCCACACACTGATTTGGAGCAAACAGGTGGTCTAAACAGAGTTGCCCTCTTGAGGCATGAACTAGATGAAAAGTGGCAGGCCACCCATGTAATCATACTGTTGGCAGTAAAATTAGAGAAATGAATAGTGCATACAAAAATGAGCCAAGAACCATATCTGGAAGAAAAGATAATCTGAGGAACACATAATTCCCAGCAGAGTTTTCAAGATACAGAAGAACTTTGTAAGACAATGTGTTTAATAAAACCAAGAGCTCAAAGTTGAGAAAATAAGATGCCAAGGGAAGTTGAATTGCTAAAGAAATCAAGCCACACATTGCATATCTAATAAATTTAGAAGTAGTTGACTTGGCTGAAAATCAAAGTACTGATGTGAAGAGAGTTTCAAAAATCTCATGAATGTTGAACAAAAAGACAAAGCAATTAGAAGGTGCTATCTTGGAAGGTGGATAAATATAGCTACTATAAAGATAACTGGTGTCCAAAGAAGAGCACTCAACAAGTGGATCCAAAACAATACTCAAAGATAAAATAGGAAATTTTCCCCAAAGTGAAATAAGAACTAAATCAACCGAGTCACTTTGCTGTACGGGAGAAGTTAAACACAACATTGTAAATCAACTAGACTTCAATGAAATTTTTAAAAACATAAAGTGTGTCTGAAAAGTTCTTCATTTTGGCTATGGCTCTCCATGTATTCATTTTCTTTATGGGTTTTTTCTGCTTCTTTGCCTATCTAGTAACTTAAAAAATTATTTACTGCAAACTATTATGTTGGAGGACAATAGATACTGAAGTTAATACTCATCCCTTAGGGGTGCACGCCCCTTCTTCTGTAAGGCCAGAACTGTGGGGAGCTGAGTCTCAATCCGCAGTTGAGCAGAGTCTGGGCTTTGTTGCAGTTTTAGTTAAATTCAGTTCAACATTAGCTTTAGTGTCTTCATCTAGACTTTAAATCAAGCATTGATAAGAGTTCAGATGTCTTGCTATGATTTCCAGTCTTGCAGCTAATTTTCTGGGCCTTTGGATTTTCTTTGCTTTCTGGTTTTGCTCTGAATATTCTCCAAGAAAGAAACAAAATTGATAAAGTGTAGTCTTGGATGTTAACATGTGACTTGTATGTGGCCCTAATTCAGGGTTCTTTTTCTCCTTGTTCTAGGTACTCCTGGAGTGGAGAACCACTTTTTTTGACCTGCCCTACATCAGAAGTCACTGAGCTCCCAGCATGCAGCCACTGTGGTGCCCGAAGGATATTTGAGTTTCAGCTTATGCCAGCACTGGTCAGCATGCTCAGAAGTGCTAATTTAGGTAAAAGGCCCTTTATTTATTTGAGTTTGTGGGTTTCTGGCACTAATTTGGGATTATTTTTTAAAATGAAAGTCTAGTGTTTCATCTTTGTTTTCTTATAAAATATAAGCATTACTGAACATTTGGGAAATTAGAATTATTTTTAGGAAACATATTTGTTGCTTCCATTTGGGGCTATTATAAATAAAGTTGCTTTGAACATTTGCCTACAAGCCTTTGTATGGACATAGGCTTTTGGGTTAAGTATCCAGGAGAAAAGCAGTTGAATTGTGCGGTAGGTGTGTATTTAACTTTTTAAGACACTGCCACCTTGTTTTCTAAAGAGCCTGTGCCACTTATATCCCAACTGACAGTACATGAGAGTTGCATATCCTTGGCAATACTTGATACAGTCTATCTTGTTCATTTCAGTCTAATAGGTGTGTAGCGATATTGCATGGTTTTCATTTGCATTTCTCTAATAACTAATGATTTTGAGCATCATTTTCATGTGCTGATTTATCACTATATGTTTTCTTTGGTGCAGTGTCTGTTCTAATCATTTTCTCTTTCTAAAAATTGGGTACTTTGTCTTCTTACTGAATTCTGAGAGTTTTGTATGTATTCTGGATACAAGTCCTTCATCTGGTATATAATGTATAAATATTTTGTCTAAGTTTAGCTTGCCAATTTTTATTTTTGTTTTTGTTTTTTTTTGGTGTAGACTTTAGAAGCTTTCACTTTATAGAGAAATTGAGAAATAAGTACATAGAATTCCCATATACCTCACGTCCAGTTTCCCCTTTATTAAAATAAATTTATACTAATACAATACAGTACTTTTGTTACAATTACTGATCCAATATTAATACATTATTAACTAAAGTCCTTAGTTTATTTAGATTTCCTTAGTTTCTAGCTAATATCCAAGAGCCCATCCAGGATATCACTTAGTTTGTCTCTTGCCTGTGATGAAAATTCAGACTTCCTCATTTTTTTCTTAAGCAGGATTTTTTTAAAAGAAATACTTATTTATTTATTTGGCTGTACCGGGTCTTTGTTGCAGCATGTGGGATTTTTAGCTGTAGAATGTGGGGTCTAGTTTCCTGACCAGGGATCAAACCTGCACCCCCTGCATTGTGAGTGTGGAGTCTTAGCCACTGGACCACCAGTGACATCCCAGGACTTCCTCATTTTTGATGACCTTGACAATTTGTGGGAGTACTGGTCACTTACTTTGTAAGATGCCCCTCTGTTGGAATTCACCTGATTTTTTTTCTCATAATGAGACTACGGATTATTGAGAAGAAAATCACGGGGTGAGGGGTAAAGTGCCATTTTCTTCATGTCACTCATCTTATCAAGGGTGCCTCTTTAAACATTGATTGTTGATGTTGGCTGGTATTTTAGGTTTCTTCACTTGAAAACAGTGCCTTTTTCTCCCCCTTCCATAAGGTACTGATTTGTCTTTTTAGTTTCTAAACTGTCCTTTTAAAAACAGTTTTTAATTTTGAAGCACAATTTATTTATCTTTTCTTATATGGATTGTGTTTTTGATATCTTGTCTAAGAAATAGTTGCTTAGCCCAAGGACACAAGTTTTATTTCTAGTTTTACATTTAGATTTATGTCCATTTTGAGTTAAATTTTATATAAGGTATGAGGTATGGTTCAAGTCCTTCTTTTCCATGTGAAAATCCAGTTGTTTCAGCACCACTTATTGATAAGAATATTCTTTCTCTGCTCAAGTATCTTTTACCTTTGTTGAATATTGGTCGTCCATATATGTGTTAATTTGTTTCTGCACTGTTCATTCTGCATTCTGTCCCATTAATCTCTTTTTCTGTGTGACACCACTGCCACACTGTCTTGACCACTGTAGCTTTGTAAGATTTGTTGTTGTTGTTTAGTCACTAAGTCATGTTTGACCCTTTGCGACCCCATGGAGCATGCCAGGCTCCCATGTTCTTCACTGTCTCTCAGAGTTTGCTCAGACTCATGTCCATTGAGTCCATGATGCTATCTAACCATCTTATCCTCTGCCGCTCCCTTCTCCTTTTGCCTTCAGTCTTTCCCAGCATCAGGGTCTTTTCCAGTGAGTTGGTTTTTCTTATCACGTGGCCAAAGTGTTGGATTTGTAACTTGGTTGTATTAGTCTTTCAGCTTTATTCTTCCTTTTCAAAAATATTTTGACTCTTCCAGATCATTTGCATTTCTGTGGGGTTTTCGAAAATTGCATTTTATTTCTTAATTCTTTAGCTGAGCTGTCCAATAAGGTAGCCATTCTGTGTGTGCATGCTCAGTCACTACTCAGTCATGTCTGACTCTTTGCGACCCCGTGGAGTGCAGCCTGCCAGGCTCCTCTGTCCTTGGGATTCTGCAGGCAAGAATACTGGAGTGGGTTGTTATTTCCTCAACTTCTTAAAAAAACTAAAAGACTTTGTGGGATTTTGTTTGGTATTGCATTGATTCTGTGGATCAGATCGAGGAGAATTGACATCTTAACAATGTTGAGTCTTCCAACCCATGTACCTAGTATATCCCTCCACTTATTTAGCTTCTCTTTAATTTCTTGCAATAGAGTCTTATACTTTTCAGTGTAGAGTCTTGCATATCTTTTTTCAGTTTTGTCTCTGTGTGTTAAATGCTTTTTTATGCTATTGTAAATGGCATTTAAAAATTTCAGTTTCTGATGTTTGCTAGTATTAATATGTTTAAATATAATTGATTTTTTGAAAAAATGTGTTATAAAATACACATAGTCAAAAATTGACCATTTTAGCCATTTCTTTAAGTGTATAATTTAGGGATATTAAGTATATTCACAGTGTTATGAAACTGTCACCACTATTTTATTCCCAGAACTTTTTTTGCTATCCCACACACAAAAATCTGTACTCATTAACTACTCTGCCCCTCCCCTAAAAGAATTAGCACCGCCCCCCACCCCGGCTCTTTTTCTCTTCCCCTAGTTACTGGTAACCTCTGTTCTATCTATTTCTGTCTCTTTGAATTTGCCTATTCTAGATACCTGACATAAGTAGAATCATGTGATATTTGTCCTTTTGTGTCTGGCTTATTTCATTTATCATAATGTTTTCAGGGCTCATGTTGTAGCATATATCAAAATTTCTTTCCTTTTTATAGTTCATTCATGATATACAGATTTCACTGTGTAATACAGATTTTTTAAAATTCTTTAACTTGGTGGGGCTTTCCATCTTTTGGCTACTATGAGTAACACTGCTGGGAACATTGGTATACAGATACATTTGAGTCACTGTTTTTTAGTTTTTTTGGGCATATCCTCCAAATGGCATTGCTGGGTCTTAATTTTTTTATTTTTTGGCTGCACTGTGCAGCATGTGGGATCTTACTTCCCCGCCCAGGAATGGAACCTGTGCCCCCGGCAGCGGAAACATGAAATCCTGACCACTGGACTACCAGGGAAGTCCCCAACTGTGTCATCTTAAGAGCTGTAACCACATATGTTGAAAACAAAGAAAAATCTCAAATCAGTGACCTAATTGTTTACCTTAAGGAGCTAGAAAAAGAAGACCAACCAAAACTTAGACAGAAGAAAGGAAAGAATAAAGGCTAGGGCAGAGCTTTTAAGGATAATATAAAAACAACAGAAAACTGTTGCAGATTGCTGTGGATTCATTAGGATTTTCTACATAAAATATCAGATCATCTGTATTTACTAATATATATGTTTTATTGGGCTTCCCAGGTGGTGCTAGTGGTTAAGAACCCACCTGCCAATGCAGGAGATGTAAGAGACTTGGGTTCAATCCTTGGGTCGGGAAGATCCCCTGGAGGAGGAGGGCATGGCAACCCACTCCAGTATTCTTGCTTAGTTGCAAAGAGTCGAACACCACTGAAACGACTCAGCGCTTCTCATACATATATATATATATATATATATATATATATATATATACACATACACATTCATGTTACTATTTGCTAAATATAAGTATTTTACATGGAATAGTGACTGATTACATTTGATCTTTGTGACCACTGAGTATTCATATGTGTATTTAAAGTACTTTTTAGAACAGACATGAAAATATCACATCTACTTACTGAATTCACAAAAATGTTTATCCATTGTACAATACTTTAAAGGTTATTGTGGTTTAATTTTAGGAGAAGAAATTTTGTCTGTTAAGATTATGAGCTAACCAAGGCACATGGCTCTCACAATCATACACAGTTGAGGAATAATGGCTTCTACTTCTTTGCACAGCTGCCATAGTCACTCATGATGATGGGCTTTCTTATGTCAATGTTATCTTTTTCCAGTTTACCAATAATTACATAAGATGCATCATATACATTTTTTCTTTTATTTCAATACAATCAGTAAATCTTTCCTCTGTGGTGATGGAAGTGATCTTGACATGAACATACTTTGTCATGTGACATATTTGTTATGTGGGCTTCTTCTTGGACACCATCAAAAGCAAGGAAAATTGTTTGTTTTTTATATTCCCAACTTAAATTTATATTTCAAATTTAACCTGATTTCTTAGGACCATTTTATATATTCTTTGAATTGCATTAAACCCATAAGAAAGGGAAACTGAAAGTTGCTTAGTCGTGTCTGACTCTTTGCAACCCCATGGACTATACAGTCCATGGAATTCTCCAGGCCAGAATACTGGAGTGGGTAGCCCTTCCCTTCTCCAGGGAATCTTCTCAACCCAGGGATTGAACCTACGTCTTCCACATTGCAGGCGGATTCTTTACCAGGGAAGTCCTAAAAACACATGAGAAGAGATCACTTTTTATCTTTATCTACATCATTAGCTATATGGACATTATAATAGCATGTAAGTTTTACCCCATTGAAAAGCATTTCAAGGTTTGATCTTAGTATAATTTTTCTAAGGGGTAACTTATTTCTAGGACAAAATATAGCAACAGCTAAAATAACTTGCGAAACTGTCTACTGTTTCAGTTTCTTTAAGCTTGTTACTTTCAGGGGCTTCCCTCATGGTCCAGTGGTTAAGACTCTCCACCTCCATCGCAGAGTGCAGGTTCAGTCCTTAGTTAAGGAAGTTCCACTAGTCTTGAGGTGCCGCCAAAAAAAAAGAAAAATCATCACTTTCTAGTAACTATCCTAGGAACTGATGAGTTCTACATATTTTTTAAACAATTCTTATTTGAAAACATCAAGATGAAACACTGAATATTTGTGGTCACATCCTGTTATCATTATTTTAATATGAATATTTGAGCTGCAGCTAATTTGATTTTGTTCTGTTAGTGTGGAAATGTAAGTACAGAGACAAAATAAAAACAAGCTTTCTTGGAAAAAAGATCATCCATTGAAAAGCATTTCAAGGTTTGATCTTAGTATAATTTTTCTAAGGGGTAACTTATTTCTAGGACAAAATATAGCAACAGCTAAAATAACTTGCGAAACTGTCTACTGTTTCAGTTTCTTTAAACTTGTTACTTTCAGGGGCTTCCCTCATGGTCCAGTGGTTAAGACTCTCCACCTCCATCGCAGAGTGCAGGTTCAGTCCTTAGTTAAGGAAGTTCCACTAGTCTTGAGGTGCCGCCAAAAAAAAAAGAAAAATCATCACTTTCTAGTAACTATCCTAGGAACTGATGAGTTCTACATATTTTTTAAACAATTCTTATTTGAAAACATCAAGATGAAACACTGAATATTTGTGGTCACATCCTGTTATCATTATTTTAATATGAATATTTGAGCTGCAGCTAATTTGATTTTGTTCTGTTAGTGTGGAAATGTAAGTACAGAGACAAAATAAAAACAAGCTTTCTTGGAAAAAAGATCAGTAGAGATAATTTTACTTCCTCCTTTCTGATTTGGATGCCTTTTCTTTCTTTTTCTTGTCCCATCACTTTGTATAGAACAACTTCATTGAATATAAGTCACAAAAGTGGGCATCCTTGTCTTGTTCCTGGTCTTAGGGGAATAGCTTTTAGTTTTTCATCACTGAGTATTATGTTAACTGTGAGTGTTTCATGTATATGGCCTTTTTCAGATTGAGGAATTTACCTTCTATTCCTCATTTACTGAGTGATTTTTATCACTACAGGGTATTGAATTTTGTCAAATGCTTTTTTCTGCATCAGTTGAGATATCATGTAATTCTATTGATTCTATTAATGTGGCATATTACATTGATTTTGGTATGTTTAAACATCTTTTCATTCTTAGAATAAATCTCATTGACTCATAGGGTATAAACCTGTTTATAAGCTTCCTTTTGTTGGTTTGTTTTTATGAGTTCAGTATCTTCTTTCATATCTTTGGGACATTTTTACTTGTTTCCTGCAATTTACCTTTTCTTCTCTGCTTGTTTTGATCCCTTGAGTTTTCTATTGGAGATTTTCTGTAAATATCTGGTAAACCTTGGAAATCACCATTATTAGCACATGTGTAGGTTCATTCCAGTCATCATTCTTGGCATAAATGCAGACAGAAATTTAAAATAGATATATGACTAGAAAATTTTTTTCTAAAAAGATTTAGTAATACTAATTTAAGGGACTAAAATAAATTCATGAAAATTTAACATAAGAAAAGTATAAGTGAAGCAGTTGCTGGGGTTTTTAGGTAATGGGTTATTAAAAGAGGCCCTGGTTTCTAAAAGATCCTTTAAAATTAGGAAAATTATATTCATCCTATATTTCAATTTTAAATAGTTTGTATTTGACCCTTTAATAGATAAGGAAATGTTTACCCTACTCCATCTCCACATATTTTAGTATCATTTTTGCTTTATCAAGGTTTATCAATCTGTATTGTATAAACATTCTCATAGCTGTTTAGCCTGTGAATTCTTTATTCTGACTATTCTCTCCTAGTTGGATTCCATCATGTAATTGCCTCAAAGAGGGCTCACAGGTGCTAGTCTGCCTTTCTATTTGAAGGACAACTTGTGTGTAAAGTTCTTAAGCCCCACTTTCTTTCTTCAAAACTTGGTAAACCCCATGCTGTCATCTTCTAATAGTGAGGGCCCCACCAGCCTTTTTATCTGGTACCTCCTGTCATCTCCCATGGCCGGGCCTCATTGGGACGTATGTTTTTCTGAAAATCCCTGAGATCTTTCATGATCATTTAGATATCTTTTGGCATTGAATGTTGCTTTGTAGAAGTCTGAGGGTGGACTGATCCCCCTCCACCCTTTGTAACTAACACCATAGAACTTTCTTCATCCATGAAGCCCAGTCACTGAACTAACACGTCTTGCAGTTCCATTATTCTGTAATTCTTATTTACTTCCTTATTTTTTTTTAGCTGTGCTAGGTCTTAGGTGTGGCATGAGAGATCTTTGATTTTCATTGTGGCATGCAGGACCATTAGCTGCATCATGCGAACTTTTAGTTGAGGCATGTGGGATCTAGTTCCCTGACCAGGGATCGAACCCTGGCCTCCTGTGTCGAGAGGGCAGAGTCTTAGCCACTGGACCACCAGGGAAGTCCCATGCAGTTTTGTTTATTGTGGGGTAGGATGGGTCTTCGGACCTGCATATTTAGTTTTTCTTCATTTTCTTTCTTGCTTTTAAGTTGGCCATGCCGTGTGGTTTGTAGGATCTCAGCTCCCCAACCAGGGGTTGAACCCACACACTCCGCAGTGAAAGTGAGGAGTTCTAACCACCAGCCAATCAGAGAATTCCCCTGAATATTTTTTCTGTTGAGTTTGTAGCTTTTCTGTAGAAGCAACACCAGTTGGTTTGGTCACCTTTCTCTTCTCAAATCCATGATAACATCTTTTCTCTTTCCCTCTGCACTCATTGAACTTCTCAGAAGCCTTTCCCTTCTACCTGTAATTTGATTTCACCTTTTTTTTCTGTTTCTTGTGGTTGCTGATGTTTTTCATTACATGTGTAATGGGACTGTTTTGATCTCCTTATGCCTCTTTCTCCTCTCTACCCTTCAGCCCCCACTGTGGGAGGTCTCTGGGTTCATGTATAATGCTCAGCTATTTCGTATTTTATTCTGATTCTTTGCACCTCCTTCTTTCCTCTCCTGGTGGTGGTTACTACTACTGAGGCTGCAGCCTTCTCATGCCCTCTACAAACTGCCTGTTAGACATTTTAGTTGGGAATTTTCTTAAATTCACCAGGTTATTTCTCTACTCAGCTCTATTTTACCCTTTTTTGGGACTGTCTTTGACTTTCTTTCCATTATCACCACCTACATTTAAAATATATATGTATATTTATTTGGCTGCTCCAGGGCTTAGTTGCAGCATGCAGGATCTTCTTTGTTGTGACATGCAGCATGCTCTCTCTTTATTTGGAACATGTGGGATCTAGTTCCCCGACCAGGAATCAAACCCAGGCCCCCTGCATTGGGACCACAGAGTCTTAGCACTGGACCACCAGGGAAGGCCCAACTGCCTACATTTTTTTTTTTAATTTTGTTTATTTATTTTTGGCTTTGCTGGGTCTTTGTTGCTGCGTGGGCTTTTCTCTAGTTTTGCCAAGTGGGGGCTACTCTCTAGTTGCAGTATACAGGGCTTCTCTGGTTGTGGAGCATGGGCTCTGGGGTGCTCAGGCTTCAGTAGCTGCAGCACATGGGCTTCAGCGGTTGTGGCTCCCACGCTCTAGAGCACAGGCTCAGTAATGACTCACCGGCTTAGTTGCTCTGCAGCATGTGGATCTTCCTGACCTGGGGATTGAACCCATGTCCCCTGCATTGGCAGGCAAATTCTTTACCACTGAGCCACCGGGGAGGCCCTGCCTACATTTTTCTAATTTTTCCTTTGCTGCTCCAAACCAGTTGCTCAGTTCATCTTGTTGACTCCTGTTTTCCTATTTTGATATCAACAGGCTTTCTTATTACTCACGTTCTCTTGATGCCATTCTTCCTGGCTCCATCCATTGATACATTTCTATAAATTCTTAGGCTCTATTTTCTGCTTTTTGCCTGTATCCTTTCTTGGAAGTAGTGTTCTGTTAGTATGACATATTTTAAAATGATCTTCAATGTCAAGTAGTCTGGATTTGGCCACACTATGCAGGATGCAAGATCTTAGTTTCTTGACCAGAGATTGAACCTGTGCCCCCTGCAGTGGAAGCACAGAGTTTTAACCACTGGACCACCTGGGAAGTATCATATTTTTAAAGTATATTTTGCTACTCTGTTTTTTTTTTAATCAGCAGTCACTTTTTGTAGGAATACTGTGACTGTATTGTGACAGTACTAATAAGCACTGTTTTTGCCTTAAGTAATTATTTTTTCAGCTTGTAAGGTAAAACCACTACCTATGGCAACATCAGTTATCCTGATATTGAGCAATCCTTCTCCTTCCTATTAGCTTCTTCTGCTTAACCTTTTTGCTTTACAGATAACACTGAAGATGTGCCAGGCTCTGTTCCAAGTGTCTTATTTGTACTAGCTTATTTACTCCACACAATAATCTTATCATTCATGATAAATACATAACAATATCATAGAGGTGAAATCACTAGGTGTTAGAGCTGGGTTTGAACCCAAGCAGTCTTGTTCCAGTGTCTGGGCTATATCCACTAAGCAAACTGAATATTGAGTGTATCTCATAACACTTTCTCTTTATCGGAATCCTGGTTATGTTGTGTTTTTCAGATCTTTCTGTGGAATTCGGAACCATTCTAATTTACACATGTGAGAAGAGTTGCTGGCCTCAAGATGATCATGCTCCCATGGAAGAATTTTGTATTATCCAAGAGGACCCAGATGAATTATTATTTAAGTAGTGTATTTCCTTTTATTTATATAAATTAAACTTTAATGTTTAAATTGTGTTTTTACCTCATTTTGACTCAGAGTTTATTAGCTCTTGTTTCTGTTTGCTTTTTGGCACCTGTGGTGGATCTGGAACCAAGATTGAGAACCTCCCGTTTATGGGCTGGTTAGCCTTTCAGGGTCAGTGGCCTGCGTCCACAGAGGCAGCTCCGAATACGGATCCTCTGTAGCCCACAGGGCAGGTGATCTTTTTTTTTTTTTTTTTCCATTTATTTTTATTAGTTGGAGGCTAATTACTTTACATCATTGAAGTGGTTTTTGTCATACATTGAAATGAATTAGCCATGGATTTACATGTATTCCCCATCCCGGTCCCCCCTCCCACCTCCCTCTCCACCCGATCCCTCTGGGTCTTCCCAGTGCACCAGGCCCGAGCACTTGTCTCATGCACCCAACCTGGGCTGGTGATCTGTTTCACCCTAGATAATATACATGTTTCGATGCTGTTCTCTTGAAACATCCCACCCTCGCCTTCTCCCAGAGTCCACAAGTCTGTTCTATACATCTGAGTCTCTTTTTCTGTTTTGCATATAGGGTTATCGTTACCATCTTTCTAAATTCCATATATATGTGTTAGTATACTGTAATGGTCTTTATCTTTCTGGCTTACTTCGCTCTGTATAATGGGCTCCAGTTTCATCCATCTCATTAGAACTGATTCAAATGAATTCTTTTTAATGGCTGAGTAATATTCCATGGTGTATATGTACCACAGCTTCCTCATCCATTCGTCTGCTGATGGGCATCTAGGTTGCTTCCATGTCCTGGCTATTATAAACAGTGCTGCGATGAACATTGGGGTGCACGTGTCTCTTTCAGATCTGGTTTCCTCGGTGTGTATGCCCAGAAGTGGGATTGCTGGGTCATATGGCAGTTCTATTTCCAGCTTTTTAAGAAATCTCCACACTGTTTTCCATAGTGGCTGTACTAATTTGCATTCCCACCAACAGTGTAAGAGGGTTCCCTTTTCTCCACACCCTCTCCAGCATTTATTGCTTGTAGACTTTTGGATAGCAGCCATCCTGACTGGCGTATAATGGTACCTCATTGTGGTTTTGATTTGCATTTCTCTGATAATGTTTGCATTTCTCTGATAATGAGGGCAGGTGATCTTATGGAAGACCCTGGTGGGTTCTAGGAGGGCGAGCAGCTGTAGTGTTGTTGTGAGCAGCAGGTAGCCACGTATTAGCCCTGCAGCCTCTGTACTTTTGCTGTCCCTGGATGCTGACAGCGTACTGCTGGGACTGGTCCAGCTGCTTGAGGCTCCTGCCCTGTGGCGTGAGCTGTTGAGGCCTACCCCACTTTCCCACCCTCATCTACTCCCATCTCTTGCCCCTTTGTCTCTTCTGGACATTGTCCCTCCACCCAGCTGTCCACCACTCATCTCCCCTTTCTCCATTTAGATTTTATGTTATTGACTGTTTCCTTTCTGCTACCCCCTGACAGCCACGTGAAAACACTCCCACCAGCTGTACACAGACCTGTGTCTGTGTAGATGGGGAAACTGGGTATTAACGCAAAGACTTTGGTTTGCTTATGTTAATAAACATCAACTCTGGTAAATAACACACTAGGCCCACATTATCGTGCGATGTGGTTCTCCTGGGCAGTGTGTGACTGGTGAGAACCCTCTGTGATGCTGCCTCGCCCTCCCTGCTTCCCACGGTAGCAGAGGTACCGGGGGAAAGTGGCTGGCTGTGCAGAAGAAAGCAAGGGTGTTGGTTGTAGGTATTTCAGGAACACTGGGTTTGTAGGGCTGAGGCTGAGTGTGGACCTGCGGAGAGAGGTTTTTTGTTCGTTTTTCTTTATTTAGTTGTGGCTATGCTGGATGTTCACTGCTGCAAGGACTTTCTCTGGCTGCACCAAGCTGGGGCTACTCTGTAGGTGTGGTGCACGGGCTTCTCATTGCGGTGGCTTCTCTTGTTGCAGAGCACGGGCTCCAGGGCGCGTGCGGGCTTCAGCAGTCGTGTCTCCTGGGCTCTAGGGCACACGTTCAGTAGTTGTGGTGCATGGGCTTAGTTGCTCCACGGCAACTAAAATGTGGATCTTCCCGGATCAGGGATTGAACCCATGTCTCCTGCATTGGCAGGCGGGCTTTTTTTTTTTTTTTTTTTAACCACTGAGCCACCAGGGAAGCCCTGCAGAGAGAGGTTTTGATTCCTCGTCTCTGTCATGTTCCTCACCATGCCCTCACCAGTTCCCTTGTGGCACTTCTGTTGTGGGCAGATAATCCCTCAGACTTCAGACCACTCACTCTAACTAAAGCAGAAAACAGACTGCCCATATCAGGTACATCGGACTGCAGGTACATCACTTTGGATTTATTTAAATGGCCAGAGAGTACCCTTCTTTCATGAGAGGATGGGGTATAATTACTGCTTTAAACTGTTGATACAGCCATTTTCAGGTATGGGTTAGGTGTCATGTTTCTTTTAGGTGGAGACAACTTGTGCTTCCAACCAAATGCATTCTTGAATCTAGTTATGCATGTTTATATCATATCTTATCTAAATAGAGTACAGATCGCAGAGGCATCCCCATCATCCAGTGGAAATGTTTGCAACATAATTGTTAAGGAAGCAAGACATGAGAAAACAAGTCCAGTGTGAACCCACTTAAGTGCTGTGTAAAAGATCTAGATCTGAAAATAGAAATACCAGCAAGGCCCTGAGGAGTAGGATTAGGTGTGCAGTTTTATAGGCAGGAGAGAAGCAAAGGAAGGTGGCTCTATCCACAGCGTGTTTCGAGGGAGGAGGAGGGTGAGCATGCTGTGCAGGATGTCTGTTTAAGAGAGGCAGGCCAATGGTAGGGAAGGGACGTCAGCAGCCTACTATGCAAGCGTGTGCCCCCTGACCATGGCTGGGTTCCCTGGCCCTTCCTTTGCCTGGTGGTTCAGGACCACAGCCTGAGTGCTTCTCACACACCAAGCTTGGTGGGTGCTTGGTGAACCAATCAACTGATGAAAAAGACCAGAGAAGTCAAAAGCAATTTTCTTCTGTTTTCCATTGTCAACCAACAAAACAAAGAAGAAAACAGTATATTTGGCATCATAAGAATTGCAATTTGGGGCTTCAGTCATGATCCAGTGGTTAAGAATCTGCCTTGCAATACAAGGGACACCTGTTTGATCCCTGGACCGGGAAGATCCCACACACTTCAGAGCAAGGAAGCCCATGTACCACAACTACTGAGTCCATGTTCTGCAACTCCTGAAGTCCACACGCATCCTAGAGCGCATGCCTTCCCACAAGCCACCGCAACGCGAAGCCCATGCGCCACAACAGAGTAGCATCCTGCTCACCGCAACTAGAGAAAGCCCATGTACAGCAATAAAGACCCAGTGCAGCCCCCAAAATTAAATCAGTAAGTCTTAAAGAAGTTACAGTTCAGAAGACACAGATTTGAGTATAATAGAAAGAGAGTTCCAGGGAAGAGAAAGAATCAGGGGCTTACGATGACAAATGCCACGAGGCTGTACTCTGACACAAGAAAGGAAATAGTTGTCCTTTAGGGATGATGGTCACGAGTTGTTTTAGGGCAAGGGTCTGATAAATAGATAGGCTGCCATGAGTCATATTTGGGTAAGGGTAATAAGCATTGAGTTTCTGGCAGATGTTCTGAGTGCCTTCATTAGGACAGTGAGTGGTCGGAAGGTCAGACTTCACTGCCGTGCTGTGCTTGGTCACTCAGTGATGTCTGATTCTCTGTGACCCCATGGGCTGTAGCCCACCAGGCTCCTCTGTCCATGGGGTTCTCCAGGCAAGAATACTGGAGTGGGTTGCCATTTGCTTCTCCAGGGGATCTTCCCAACCCAGGGATCGAACCCAAGTCTCCCACATTGCAGGAGGATTCTTTACCATCTGAGCCACCAGGGAAGCCCTTGGGGTCCAGAAGATAGAGACACTGTGGACAGATAAGGGCGTCTTATGGAAGCCTTGCATAAATTACACTTTATTAGTGGCCTTCCAGCTCCATTTTAGAGAGCTCTCTTAGCAATAATGACTCTATTTGGATTTTCCTTTTACACCATCTTTTCCTTTTTTCTTCTAATAATTTTTTTCTGATTTAAAAGTTCACATTTTTGAGGGGCATGAGCATCTGGGAAATACAGTAAAGTTTAGAGAAGAAATAAAAATTGTCCATAATTCCAGCATACATAAATACACAAAAATACTAACCACGGTTATTTTCTTGCCATTTGAGAGAGCTTTTTAACAAAATTTAATCACATACATGGTTTTGTATCTTTTTCATTTAACATTATGTTGTGTTTACCCCATCAGTATTCTCCCAGGATATACTTTGTAATTGAAACTGACTCTACCCCCTTCTGAAACCAAGTTCCCTTACTGAGTTTATGATAAATCTCTCTCTCCACAATTTTACTCCCTTTCTTACCTCCTCTGATCTCAGTCTGATGCTAACTGAACACTAATCAACCAGTCAGATGACTAAAATTGCTGTTGTTGATAACCTCATTAATATAGTAAACTTGCTATTATAGATGTCATTGTTAAGGTACAAACTCAGGTTGTTTCTCCAGAGGAAGGTGAGCTAACAGATCCCTGAGCCATGGACCATGTGGCCAGAGAATTGTAAACCAGAGACGTATCCCAACTCCCCAAACTATTTAAAAATGTCACAAGATGATGATTAATTCCTCTTTGTTCTTCCCCTCAAATCCCCTAACTCAAAGACCAAGTTGAAGGGACCTGAGGCTTGCCTCCCACTTCCTTGCTTGATGCCCTGCAATAAGTCTACTTTGCTACAAATTCCCACTGTCAGAGTTTGGCTTTTTTCGCTTGGGGCACAAGAGGCCTTTACTCCATTACACATAATGCTGCCAAGTATTTTTCAATAAAAGGAAAGTATGCATCCAGCTCTTTATGTTATACAGCAGCTTCCCACTATATCACACCTGGTGGTGTGTACATGTCCATACTACTTTCTCAATTCATCCCACCCTCCCCTTCACCTGCTGAGTCCACAAGTCCTTTCT